GTTCAATGAACCATATATATATATATATTTGTTCATATCTAAGGTTCATTGATTTTTCAGATTCAATGAATCAATCAAACATATGTCGATATAAATATCGGATGGCCTCTAAACACGAGTCGGAGCCTCCAGAAAAAGACATTGCAAGCCATTTTAACAGGACTTGTGGGTATTGGATGACACATGATGACAATAAGATACAATAAATATGTTGCCAATGAGCTTGCTGAGGTAGAACATGGTTGCAGTCTACAGCACTCCATCAGGGTATCTGAAGTGCAACCAAGTACTGCCCTCCGTGGGCATCCATGTACATTTGGCAAGTAGGATCCACTGGAACAATTCTCTCAAACCATGATGCCCCCATTGGATGCTCAGTCGATCCGCGCTTGGCCAAAGACAGGGCATCATCAAGGTCTTGCGAGTTTTCTACAGTTGAGGGCCCTCTGGAGGACCCTGGCCTTGATTTGCCCAGCATTGGGAGAGCATCCTATTTAAAAGCAGCATCTGCTGGACTTACCAATCACTTTTGGGGACCCATATGCATGGGCAACACACGAGTCCTCGAACGGAAGTAGTACTGCAATGGGTGAATATGTGTTGTTGGATTGTCCGTAGTTTGGTGTTTTCTTTTTTGCTGGGAGTGTTGCAAAGGGTAAGGAGAAGGAGCAGGAGAGGGAGACGGAGACGGAGGGGAGAGAGGGGGACAGGGGAGTCAGGGAACAATGGAGAGAGGGGAGAATGCAAAGCAAAAGGAGCCAGAGGAGAGAATGCAAAGCAGGATTCATTTGGGTTTCTTTGGGCTTGGCTTGGGGCTTCGTTTCTTTAGGGATTCTTTTGGCCTTAGGGCTTTGCTTCTCTAGAGGGTTTCTTTCGGCTTGGCTTAGGAACTTGCTTCTAGGTGTCTTTTTGGGGTTGGCTTCGGGCTTCACTTCTTTGCGGTTTCTCTGGGGTTGGTGTTAGTGTTTGTTTGTTGTTTCAAAACCAACCAAAAGGCAACCAAAAAGCAACCGACCATGCCCAGCAAACAAGTTCAAGCAGGCCGCAACAAAAACACCAAAAGCGCTTGTCGTCGAGCGCACACCGGGAACCCGCATGGGATCTCCTCGTCCGTTCGCGCCGATGGAAGCGATGACATCCTCCACCTGTGAATGACATCCTCCACGTGTCGGGCGTCAATGCCCCACCGACTTGAGCCGTGACCGGGACACGTGGCGCAACGTGACCTGGAGCCGGAGAAACGGGGTGAACCTGGGTGCGGATGTCGTTGCCAACAGTGCTCGCAGAGCACTCCGTTGCAGCAAAGGCAGCATGTCTGTTTGGGGTCATTGTCAAATAAGATCAAATATGGGACCTAGGCGTTGGCCAAGGCAGCAACATCATCGCGAATGGCTTTCTGCGCAACCCTGGTTGGATTGAATGCAGCATCTGTCATTACCAAGAAGACTTCCAACCTGCAGTGGCGCTGCCTTGGCCACCCTTGAGATTCCGCTGGCCTGGTCTTCGGAAAGTCGTCGTCTTCTCCCTTGCTTCGGGTTTGATGTCGGTCGCAAAGAAGTGCTGATCCTGGTAGAACCTTATGATCGCAAAGTTCCCCCAAAGCCAAAATGGTCTTTCACATCTCCGTCTGGGGCAGGGTTTTCATCGTTGCTGAAAAACAAGCCACACACCACCGAAGGACAAACCACCATACGCCGCAAGCGAGGCAGGGAGACCACCCAAATGTTCCGCCTCACACGATGGATTCGCCAAAACCCTCAGAGTCTCAATGGTGTCATATGGTGCCTCTAGCACTCATACCTGGTGCTTCCTGTTCGGGTGCTCGAGACATAAGTAGTGTCGAGTTGTCCATGTGATCCCGAAAGGAAGCAGCTGGCATATGCTGTAAAAAGATTGGTCGGAACAACGTCTCGCCAGAAGAACTGTGATTGGTCAATCAGATAACTCTGAGAAAAACACACATGGGAAAACTATTCCCATTTGAGATGGACATAAAACAGGATTCCAATGTAGTATGCAAAGCATCACCCAGCAAAATCTGTTTGGAAGCCTCAGGCCCCAATGGAGAGTGTTTTTCTTTGGACATCCGGTAGGACGCAAATCTCTTCTCTTGGAGCAGTCAAGGACAGTCACGGATATTGTTTGAGTATAGGATAGAAACGATTTAGGAACATGTAGTTATATATTATACATTATTATACACACATGTCAGATCAATCCATCATTTCCCACGGAAGTGGGATGTTTCTGACAATTTATGTCCTCTTAGATGAAACACCAAGAGGTCAGTTTAACTTCATTTCATCTGGTTGGCACAGTCCCAGGACACCTATGGACCTACTGATGACTTGGACTGGACGCCTATAGCCTATAGCCTATATATATATAGGAATGGTTCTTGATGTTCAATTGTTCAATATTGTTCAATTACATAGTACAAGAATCAAGGAACAAGGCAAAAGACATGGTGTCGATTCTTTTGCGAAACCGACGCCGGGCCGGACGGACTGCCTTGGGAGCGACCGCAAGCCCGGCACCTGCAGACAAAACACGCCGCACGGACCGTGGCTCGAACCGTGCGGTTTCCCAAACGACCGGTCGATCGATCCGTTTCGGAGGAGTTACTCCGCGGTTTCAGCCCGAAGAAGACTTTTAGATCGATTCGGTTTGGTGCTGGTCCGGGTTATAGAGTCAGGATGGATGTTCGGGAAACCAAATCAAACCACAGATCTTTGCGCCGTTCCAGTCGCCCACGGACTCACAAACGGCACATCTGGAGTGACCACAAGGTGAACCAACACGGTCCGGCATAAATGAGTTAAAAGAACGAATCGACACAGGGATCTCACAAATCTAACTAAGGTGTATCATGATGTATCTCCTGGTTCAAAAGGACGCCTCCTATATGTTTGACTCATGCAATGGTTTACCGCCATACTTGCACAGCAACTCAGGAACACACTCCTAATTATTTCCAAGCCTAAAAAGGCCTAATCCGTCCTTGGACACAAAGGAAAGTACCAAAACTACATGCTCGAAAACGGGGCCCCTGTAAACATGCATTTGTGTTCTTTTTTCTCACCATGTGAGAAGGACGCCATCTGAGAAGCTCAAAGCTCCTCCAAACCCGCATTCGATCTGAGAGGTTCTGAACACCGGGACCTCTAGGTACATGTACAGTGTCATGAAGTGTCCACCCATGACTCTGTCCGTCTTTGGTTTCCATCTGATCCATCAATGGACTCTTCAACATGGGGAAGACCGGGACCACCACCTTCGATACCCACCAGCAGGGTTTAGCTTTCGACCGACTTGGTGAGCACCAGGGACGAGCTCGTCCCCGAGCTCTGGGACCTTTTGAGGCTTTAGAGCATAAGAACTTCATCTGACTGGTGCTTAGTAGGGAATAAGGGAATGAGCCCCCAATAGAGATTGTATTGGATCCATTCCCTCATTCCCTAAGCACCAGTCAGTCATTGAGAGGTATAGTCTTTCTGTGCTTGGAGACGCTTGGAGCGTCGCATGGAGACGCATGGAGTTCGCTGCGGAGACGCTGCGTGGATTGCACCTTCGGTGGGCTCGTCCTCGCGGGTCAAACAGCGTGGATTTGCACGTGCATCATGGCGGAGCAGCAGGTCTCTCTTTCCGAAAGAAGAACCGGAACTAGTTTCATGTGTTTTGAAAATAGTGAATCAACTTCAACAAAGGAAACTCTACTAAGGGTCTTCCAAAGATAAAGATGTCAAACTGGTGACTGCAAATAAAGCTGCAAAAAGCTTGCAGCAATAAGCTTTAAGAAAGGACGACTTTCCATCGGCAACCAGCTACTGGCACGTCTCTGTTACACCCTTGTTTTTGTTAACTCCAAGGAAACTCAAAATGTGCAAACTATGGGCCATGGGTGATTGCACCAGATCTATGATAGATCGCACATTTAAGACTGACCCCTTTAAAAAGCGCCGCATGACCCCCCAAAAAAGATGAACAACTTACCAATCGAACCATTCACACACTGTTCACCGCCTGTTCTTCCGTTCCCAAACCCGGCAAAAATCCCCAAGTCACCACATCTGGTCCATTCCGACCTGTGTATATATATATATATCTGTCTACGCTATATAGTCTTAGACTAAACAGGAAATACTTTAGAGTTCTGGCAAATAACATTCTATTCTGATCCTGTCCACTTGAGGTGTTTCCGTGTGTCAGCTCTGAAAAAAAAAACTTGCCTCAAATCCCACATTCTTGGTCCGGCTTGCCGCAGAAAGCCACAAAACATCACGGGTGTCGTTTCAGGTATAGTGAAAAATAATGGAAAAAGAAACACATCATTCCAAACAAACACAGACCGACTCGGCGAGTAGAGTTTGTTCAAAATGGCCCTCGCTTTTGAACCAACAAAAAAACCAGCAACTCTGGCTCTCATGCCCCGTCGACAAACCAATCCGTCGACGTCATTCACTCCTCGGACCGCTCCGAGACGCGTCGAGAGGTCTCCTGCCGAATGGTGTTTCACCGTTGTTCCCGGCGAATGCTACAAGTGGGCTGGCCGACTTGATGGGCGTCCTTGGGGGTGTTTATCGCTTGGAGGGATGTCGAGTCCATGAACAGCTCCACCGGCCGAGGGGCCCTGGTCGCTTCTTCGTTTTTGTTTCCAGCAGAATCCCGGGAAATCCCCATGGGCCCTGGCGAAATGCTGGTGGCCCTGGCGACAAAAAGGGTTCGGACACAAAACCAGGTACCTCGCATGGTGTGGACCTCGCAATGGCCGATAAGCACGCTTTTTCGGTGCAGGATCTGCATCGACAAATGAGGCATGGAGGATTGCCACCAGGTGGGGAACCGCATCATGCTCTTCAGTGGTGATGTTATTGAAGGCCTGTTGTTGAATGCCTGTTGTCGAATCAACATGAATGATCACCCTGGTTACGCCCGCCATTTTTTCAGGTTATTTTTCAGGCCTCCCACTGGTCGGTGAGGAACCCCTGCCTTTGGACACATCATTCCTCCGAGAAATGAACGGAAACAGTGAACTCACAAGAGCGAATCTCCCGACAACTGCTTGGCCGTGCGATGCTGTTCAAAAACCTGGGCCTAAACGCAGCACCAAAAATCAAAGTCTGCAGGCTGCTTGGGAAGGTGACACCTTTCAGGCTCTGGTTAAACTCCATGCCGAAGGTCAAAGTCTGCAGGCTGGCTGGCAAGGTGGCACCTTCCAAGCTCTGGTTAAAGTCCATGCCGAAGGTCAAAGTCCTCAGGCTGGTTGGCAAGGTGGCACCATGCATGCTCTGGTTGAACTTCTCACCGAAGGTCAAAGTCTGCAGGCTGCTTGGCAAGGCGACACCTTCCAAGCTCTGGTTGAATTTCCAGCCGAAGGTCAAAGTTTGCAGGCTACTTGGCAAGCTGACACCTTTTAGGCTCTGGTTAAACTCCATGCCGAAGGTCAAAGACTGCAGGCTATGTGGCAAAGTGACACCTTCTAAACTCTGGTCAAAGTATTTGCCAAAATTCAATGTCTGCAGGCCGCTTGGCAAATTGACATTCTCCAAGCTCTGGTTGAATCTGTAGCCGAAGGTCAAAGTCTTCAGGCTGCTTGGCAAGGTTACATTCTCCAAGCTTTGGTTGAAGCTGAAGCCGAAGGTCAATGTCAGCAGGCTGGTTGGCAAACTGACATTTTCCAATTTATCGTCGAATTTGTAGCCAAAGGTCAAAGACTGCAGATTGCTTGGCAAGGTAACACACTCGAAGTTTTGGTCAAAAGTCAAAGTCTGTAGTCTGTTTGGCAATGCGACATCTTTCATGCTCTGGTTAAACTCTACGCCGAAGTTCAAGTCCTGCAGGCTGCTTGGCAATGTAACCCCTGGCATACTCTGGTTAAAGCTCCGGCCGAAGGTCAAAGTTTTTAGGCTACTTGGCAAGGTGACCCCTTCCAAGCTCTGGTTAAAGTCTCTGCCGAAGCTTAAAGTCTGTAGGCTAATTGGCAACGTGACACCTTCCAAGCTCTGGTTGAATTTGTCGCCGAAGGTCAAAGTCTGCAGGCTGGTTGGCAAGGTGGCACCATGCATGCTCTGGTTGAATCTATCACCGAAGGTCAAAGTTTGTAGGCTACTTGGCAAGGTGACCCCTTCCAAGCTCTGGTTAAACTCCATGCCGAAGGTCAAACACTGCAGGCTACTTGGCAAGGTGACATCTTCAAAGCTCTGGTCAAAGTGATCGCCAAAATTCAAGGTCTGCAGGCTGGTTGGCAAGGTGACCCCTTCCAAGCTTTGGTTGAACCCCCTGCCGAAGGTCAAAGTCTGCAGGCTGCTTGGCAAGGTGACATTTTCCAAGCCGTGATTGAATAAACTGTCGCTGCAAGTCAAAGTTTGTAGACTGCTTGGAAAGCTCACTTTCTCCAAGCTCTGATTAAAACTGAAACCAAAGGTCAATGTCTGCAGGCCGCTTGGCAAATTGACATTCTCCAAGCTCTGGTTGAATCTGTAGCCGAAGGTCAAAGTCTTCAGGCTGCTTGGCAAGGTTACATTCTCCAAGCTTTGGTTGAAGCTGACGCCGAAGGTCAATGTCAGAAGGCTGGTTGGCAAACTGACATTTTCCAAGGTCTCGTCGAATTTGTGGCCAAAGGTCAAAGTCTGCAGGCTGCTTGGCAAGATGACGCCTTGCAAGCTCTGGTTGAATTGGTAGTTGAAGGTCAAACAGGCGATCGCATTTGTCACTGTCACATAGGTATGATCTCTGGTCCCCCCTGCGAGGGCCCTCCGGAACCCAAGCGCTGCCTCCAGTGCACAAACCTGTCTGACAACATATGAGATTTCTCGGCAACGGGGCGCTTCTTTGTGCTTGGACCGCTTGGAGTCCTTGAGGATTTCACCACCGGCAAAGAGAACAAGTCTTCGACCATCTTTCAGGCCAATTCTTGTTGCGATGGTCTTGGAGAGGTCCGTCACCTTAGATGTTACTTCTGAGTCTTTCAGTTTTGCTCCGACACGCCGCATCGCGAGTTCGCCGGTGCGAGTCGCATCCGGTGCGGTGGACCCGGTCTCCGACGTTGCCCTGCACCCGGGAGACCGAGGTGTTTTTAGCGTGGCGTGGGTCTCAGGGAAGCAGTCCCGGGGTCATCTGAGGTGTTGAAAGCGACGTGGAGGTGACTTGTCTCTTGACCCATCTAGAACATGGGAATCATTGGGAATCCATCTGTATCAACGAAATTGGTATGTCTAGAGTTATGAGCCCGAACCTAGGCCCGAACTCAACAGACAGAGCCAAAATCCTTGAAAAAATAAACAAGATGGAGCCCACGAACCCGAATGCAAACACGTTCGAAAAGCTACATATGTCCAAATGACACTCTTGTAGGACACTCTTGTGGGACACTCTTGTGGGTCACTCTTGTAGGAAACTCTTGTGGAACACTCTTGTGGGACACTCCTGTAGGACACTCTTGTGGGATACTCTTGTGAGGCACTCTTGCGGAACACTGTTGCGGGACACTCTTGTGGGACACTCTTGCGGGACACTCTTGTGGGACACTCTCGTAGGACACTCTTGTAGGACACTCTTGTGGGACACTCTTATAGGACACTCTTGTAGGAAACTCTTGTGGGACACTCTTGTAGGGCACTCTTGTGGGACACTCTTGTAGGACACTCTTATAGGACACTCTTGTGGGACACTCTTAACTCTTGTGAGACACTCTTGTGGGACACGGTTGCGGGACACTCTTACGGGACACTCTTGTTGCACATTCTTGTAGGACACTCTTGTGGGTCACTCTTATGGGACACTCTTGTCGGACACTCTTGTGGGACACTCATACGGGACACTCTTGTGGGACACTCTTGTAGGTCACTCTTGTGGGACATGCGGGACACTCTTGTGAGACACTCTTGTAGGACACTCTTGTGGGACACTCTTGTGAGACACTCTTGTGGGACACTCTTGTGGGACACTGTTGTAGGACACTCTTGTAGGAAACTCTTGTGGGACACTCTTGTAAGACACTCTTGTGGGGCACTCTTATAGGACACTCTTGTGGGGCACTCTTATAGGACACTCTTGTGGAACACTCTTGTGGGACACTCTTGTAGGACACTCTTGTGGGGCACTCTCGTAGGACACTCTTGTGAGACACTCTTGTAGGACACTCTTGTGGGACACTCTTGTGAGACACTCTTGTGGGACACTCTTGTGGGACACTGTTATAGGACACTCTTGTAGGAAACTCTTGTGAGACACTCTTGTAAGACACTCTTGTGGGGCACTCTTATAGGACACTCTTGTGGGTCACTCTTGTAGGAAACTCTTGTGGGACACTCTTGTAGGACACTCTTGTGGGACACTCGTATAGGCCACTGTTGTGGAAAACTCTTGTGGGACACTCTTGTAGGACACTCTTGTGGGTCACTCTTGTAGGAAACTCTTGCGGGGCACTGTTTTGGGACACTCTTCTAGGACACTCTTGTGGGACACTCTTCTGGGACACTCTTGTGGGACACCCTTGTAGGACACTCTTGTAGGAAACTCTTGCGGGGGACTGTTTTGGGACACTCTTGTAGGACACTCTTGCTGTAGGACACTCTTGTGGGCCACTCTTACGGGGCACTCTTGTGGGACACTCTTGTGGGACACTCTTGTGGGGCACTCTTGTGTGTCACTCTTATGGGACACTCTCTTGCGAGACACTCTTGTAGGACACTCTTGTGGGTCACTCTTACACGACACTCTTGTAGGACACTCTTTGTGGGACACTCTCAAAAGCACTCTTGTGGGTCACTCTTATGGGACACTCTTGTCGGACATTCTTGTGGGACAGTCTTGTGACACACTCTTGTAGGACACTCTTGTGGGTCACTCTTACAGGACACTCTTGTGGGACACTCTTGTAGGACACTCTTGTAGGACACTCTTGTGGGACACTCTTGTGGGACACTCTTGTGTGACACTCTTGTAGGAAACTCTTGCTCTTGTAGGACACTCTTGTGGGGCACTCTTATAGGACACTCTTGTGGGACACTCTTAAGGGACACTCTGACACTCTTGTGGGACACGGTTGCGGGACACTCTTGTGGAACACTCTTGTGGGACACTCTTGTGGGACACTCGTGTCGCGACACGGTCTGCCCACACACTAGAAGCAGTCACGCGAGCGTTTCGTACGAGACTTCCTCCAAAAGTCACGCTTCGAGGCTGCAAGACGAGCGTTTCGTACGAGACTTCCTCCTAAAGTCACGTGTCAAGTCTCCAAAACGGAGCGTTTCGTACGAGACCTCCTCCAAAAGTCACACGTCAAGTCTCCAAAACGAGCGTTTCGTACGAGACTTCCTCCAAAAGTCACACGTCAACTCTCCAAAACGAGCGTTTCGTACGAGACTTCCTCAAAAACTCACGTGTCAAAGTCTCCAAAACGAACGTTTCGTACGAGACTTCCTCCAAAAGCCAAGCGGAAACACCCATCGGAGCACACACATCACGCAGCCCTGCCTAGCAATTTCGCGATTCCAGCCCCTCCAAACGACACCCGCTCACACGCCAATCCCAATGTGACAGCGACATTCACCTCTACCATAACTCACGACCTCGCGATTCCCTGCGCCTGCCACGAATCTTTCCGCATCCACACGTCTAACGCGCACAAAGTACTGCGCCTGCCACGAAATGTCAACTCCGTCACACCTCGCAACCTCACGATTTCCTGCCCCTGCCACGAAAATCGCACTTCCACACCTCAAAATCAGCACAAAGTACTGTGCCTGCCACGAAAAGTGAGAATATCATCTCACATGAGCTTCAACAAAATTTGCACCACACCACACGTTTAGAATGATTTCGACCCGTTCTGAGCACACTCCCATCCACCAAAATCGCCATTTCAGCTGAGACTTGTCACGAAAACAGAGCTTCGATGCCACACCCTGAAATGCAAATCCCAATGGCACGGCCACATCCAACACCCCAAAAACACGACTCTCCAAACGCTAATCCCAATGGAACTGCGCAGTAAACTGCGGATCTCTCAAACCACTGCGCCTGTGCAGCGAAGTGCATCACGCTTGTTGCGCGACATGTCATTTTCATGCAAATCACAATGGAATAGCGTCGCAAACTGACACGTGACACATCCATGAAAAGTCACTTGCAAGACGAGCTTCCCCCAATGGCAGCGCCTTAGCGTCCTACTGCGAACGGTTGCGGACGGTTGCGAACGGTTGCGAACGGTTGCGGACGGTTGCGGACGGTTGCGGACGGTTGCGAACATAGAAACAACGGATCGCGAACAAGACTCTACCCCCAGACCCCCAGAGTTAAACGAGAACCCTTCGCTACGCATTCGGGAAAACAAAAATATAATCAAAAAATAAACAAACAGAAAAAACAAATCCATACTCAGGAGAACAGGTCTACTCAGGACAGACTCAAAAAAAACAAAACAAGACTCAAATAGGGTGGGCTGGAACCTGCCTTTTCCCTTCAGAAAAAACAAATCCAGACTCAAACCCAGACTCAAACCCAGACTGACTCAAATCCAGACTCAAATCCAGACTCAAACCCAGACTGACTCAAATCCAGACTCAAATCCAGACTCAAACCCAGACTGACTCAAATCCAGACTCAGATCCAGACTCAAATCCAGTCCGGATTTGTTTTTTTTCCTTCTGCTACTTGAGTCTCCAGTTGAGTGTGTTTTTGTGTTTGGTTTTGAGTTCTGGTTTTGGGCTGAGTCTAGATTTGTTTTTTGCTTTGTTTCTTTTTTTTCCTGAGTCTTTTTTGTGTTTTGATTTTTTCATCTTGAACCTCTTCTGTGTGTGTGTGTGTTCGGTGTCATAAGTCTAGAGTTTACCCCTGCCAGTACTGATGGACATTGGAGCCTCATGTGCCAAGGTGGGCAACATGTTCGTTGACTGGCACGCAATACAAGGTACAAAGATGTACAAAGTAAATTCCGACCTGGGCATCGAACTGCAGCTTCTTCACCAGTTCCCTGCATCGGTTCTTCTCCGTTCGTTCCTCGCCTCGAAGGGTCACATTCCGCCGACACCGGTCATTCCAGTGAACGCCGCGCCGCGCCGAGGTTCGGCTTAGCCACGGTGGCCTCGCCGCTCAGCCGGAGCTGAAAGCTGGTGCCATCGAGGCCACGCACGGTCCACTCGGTGGCCTCTGCAACCAGCCTGGGGTACTTTCCAAGGATGGTGGAACATTATAAGGGGTGTGATCACGGTGTGATCAAGTATCGAAGACTCAGGAAGATCCCAGTTGAGTATGTAGTGTGTTAAGGTCTTGAAATTGTACTTATAAGTAGTGCGGCTACGCTCCTACATCTTACCTGTACCATTGACTGAATTGAATTGCAGGTCCTCAGACTCGAGACTTTCGTGGGATCTGTTGGAGAACGCAACATGAAGCGTGCGTCAATCTGATTCCGAGCACATTCAAAGCTCCCAAGGCTCCCAAGGTGCAAGACCCCGCGAGTTTCAGACAGGAGAGTCTGATAGCAAAAACACTTTTTAGGAGAGCACTGCACCTCTCCGCTGCTTGGATGCAACGACTGCGACAGTGAGACCTGCTGGGTTTTTCCTTTTGCTTGTAGACCTGCTCCTGATACACTGAAGATCACAAACACGGGCGTGTTAGGTGGAAGAAGGAGAAAAGGGCTCCCTGGAAGAACAAACGATTGTTTAGGCGTTCGGATCCAATGAAAGGCCACTGTCAAACAAGCATTAAACCTGTGATAACCAATGACCAGGGTGTACATGTGGTCCTCTGTAACCCCTGGAAGGTGAGCTGGGTTTTTAGATAAATAGTCCCCGATGAAATCTACACAAAGAATCAATCACTTGAGGCTATGCGAGGAAACAATTCTGTGGAAATGAACCCAGGAACAACAGAGCGCAGGAAACAATAACACAACCAAAGCAAGTCACCCAAAAATTGCTAGTGTGTAGAACTTAAGCAACCTCTCAGTTTCACCTCCAACATATTCCTAATAATATATAGACTCGTAGATTAGTATGTATGTGGTGGTATTACAAATTCCTCCAAAATCACACTCTCTACCTGAAAATAAATCCAGTGCCGTCTTCGGCCCGGCTTCGCAGCCCCGAGTGGATCCAGCCGGATCCAAATCCGGCTGGATACGACTGTCAAGACCAACTAATGTAAGCTTATGTAAGCTTGGGCAGCTTCTATACCTGTGAGAGATTAGTGGCCAAAAATCCAAGGTCAACCGAGTCCTCTTTGCGATCTACTCTCGAATGCTCTCGTGGTCAGGCAATCCTCTCCCAAGCTGATTGAATCTCATGGAGCAAAACCTTCAAAGACATGTGACATAAAGCACAAGCCAAAGAAAAATCAATAAGTGCAAAAAAACATGCATCAACACCTCCAAAACCTTCACAGGTCCGTCAATGGGTCAGAAAATGTCAGAAAGGGCCTACAGTGTCAGTGCCGAAGCGGCATGTCTTCCACGCCGACGGAAGCAGCTATGATCGACGGGGATCTGGCTTGGTAGCGGCGCCAGTCTTTCTACGCTCAACAAACAACCAAGGATTGGAGGTGTTGATGAACCCGAGGGGGTAGCATTGGAAAGTGCTTCTTCAACCTGACGCGGGTTGACAAGCACGGATGTTGGCATGGTCAGTTAGACCCTGCCCGCGACAACATCCAAAACAAGGGGGCCAGTTGCCTGGCCGGTGATCTGTGGAATGTACATCTAGTGACAGTGACCCTTCACGATGTGCCATCCATCCAATTTACCCAGGTTGTCCTCCAAACTAACTACTTATTATCCACCCAACACACACATACACACCCTGAAATGCCCTCTAAGCTGCTCATGTGCCCTGCGCAGCAGCCGCTCCGCCCGCTCCGGATTCTCTGAGATGAATGTCCGCAGCACGTCTTCACAAGCTGCATCGTTGGGCAGCGACACCGCGCTGGTGGTCCCACCCATGTGTGTTGAGGGCTACAAATCAGCTGGGCAATGAGAAAGTGTCTTTCAAGACAAAATTAACAAAACTGGGCCAGAGGTAATGAGAGAGTACGGGTTTGATCACAAAGGTGATACAGGGGTTTGGTTCTTGATCTGCATCACTATTGGGCTAATTGGATGGGTCACTTCCAGTTTCTGATAGTTTTGTGACATGTGGAATCCACTGAGCATCAACTGTACTTCCCTCTTGTTCTTCGTGATCTCAGTCTGTTAGGGGCTAACACCTCCGTTTTGTCTCAGTTGAGCAAAACAGTGCTTTCCACGGCGTCCGTTTCGTCTGCGGGACCTCGTCCCAATGACGAGTCTGCCGCTGGCGTCTCGTCGAGCGGAGTCCGACTGAGTCGAAGCTGCGATCTGCCCGGAAGTGGAGGACGGAAGTGGAGGACGTGTTTAGGCGCGTGGCTTGCATTGCGGCGATGCCCAAAAGAAGATGCTTAGGGTTCACTTGGCGATCCGTCAGATGTACGGCCATCTGTTTCCATTCATGCAGGGAAAAAGGCTGCAAACAAACTTTCTTTACAATATCAATCCATATCACTTTTTGGTGTGGGTGGTGTGTCCCCACATCCCGTTGACTTCATGCTCTTGGGTGTTCCCTTCATCCTCCCCTTCATCCGTTCCATCCTCTTCATCACGAGGACCTGACCACCGGGGGCTTCGTTCGATGGTGACGACTCCGAAGTGATGACCCGTGGACCGAACCATCAGCGGAACAGGGAGTTCATGGGAGGTCTCTCCATGATTCCTCTACAAAGCCTGAGAACCCAACTTGAAAACTCATTCTACCCCCGTAGAAGGTGGGATTGTCACAACCTCACAACATTGGATGTTCAGGGAAAATGGTCTCTCCAAAAAGGCTTTGTGCATGTTTGGGCGGGTGCAAGCGTGAGGTTCGCACAGATTGGAGATACTCACAGTGGGCAGGCCTACCTGGTATGTTAGATATTTCATGATATTTCTGGAGGTTGGCTTCATAAATGGCAGGATTGGTTTGGATGTGTATGACCAGACCTTCCTAACCAGGAAATGTTCATGGGTACTCCTTTGGCATGCTTTGCTCAAGCGAATGATGCCAAGACAAAAAAGGAACTGTGTTCACGGGTTTAAGATTCACTTTGGAGTCAGGACAGAAAGGCGCACGCAAATGATCCAAACAAACAGGTTGGTGATTGATCGTGGTGGCAATTGTTTCAACTTAACAGTGTTTCCATGTTTGTCCACTGTTTGTTTGCACAAACCAACTGTCACCTGCAACTGACTGGGGTGGAACAGTCAAGCACTTGCTGCTAAAGCACAAAGTGTAGTCACAAACCTCTTCATCAAAAAGACAATATGTCCTTGCTAGGCTAGGCTAGCACGTTGTAACAAATTTTGTCCAAGGCAAAATGAACTCGGTCGGCAGCAGTCACCATCAAAGGAAGTGTTGCAGCTGTGGGGTGGCACATATATGGTTATCCCCCGACTCACCAACATGGAAGTGGAAGCCACCCTGCCATTAAAGGACAATCGTCAACCAAAAAGGTCCCTTTTCCACTCTCATGTGTCGTGAGTCTCCACGTTGCTACTAGTAGCGATGCCCTGCGATGCCCTAGCTACTAGTAGCTTCTTGTTCCTAGTAGTAATGCCAGGATCTATATACTTCTAGCTTCTGGCTACTAGTAATGCCCTATAGCCCCAAACCCTGCCAACCCCCCACCCGCAGGCGTGCCCAAGGCCACGACCCTCAAGGGTCCACCCTGCTCGCTCCGCATCCACACTAGCGCCGGAACTCAGAAGTCGATCCTGGCAGGAAAAGGGCCGCAGTGCCTAGCCCTCCAAAAACACAGTTCTTGAGTACATGATGTACCGAAGCCGCGAACAATGACAAAGAGTGGGCAAATGACGTGCGCTTTGATTTTGCCATTAAAAGCGGCCACTTGCGGTCACTCGAGTGGCTGCAAGTGGCCGCAACAATTGACTGGCATGTGCCTCGCATGGAACATGCCGTGGCGCATGGTCTGGTGCCACTTGGGTTCGGGTCCCATGAACACTCCCTCAGCTTCGAATGGAGTATTCTTGGTGAACCTTTTTCAACCCGTTTTTGGACAAACCAATTCCCAAGAAAAGTTGGGGAGGTGGTTGACTAACTGGGCAGGGTTCTTTCTCTATCGAATCGCGACTCACTGGCGGCCGCTTGGCGTGCTGGCTTTCCGCAGGGCGACGGAAAAAATGTATGCGATTTGGAGCTGCTCCGGATGGAAAAACAGCGGACATGCTTGTGAGGTGCACTGCTCGGCCATTTGCACAGTCGCGGGGGCCACTTGCGGTCATCTGGTTAAGTACCCTGCTCCATTTTAGGGGCACCCTAGATGTTGCTCATCAGATATCATTTGTGTTCCACTTGGCTAAGATCTTTGGGGAGCATCAAGGTATGTGGGCAAAGCGGACCCAATGGATGCACTTTTGCCAGATCAACGTCTAGGAGAGGGCCCAAATAAAACCCCTTTCTGCACATGGAGGTACTGCAGGACACCGTCCTGCCCGAAACGGACCCCGTCCTCAGCAGGGACAGCCTCACCCGGCTCCGGCACGCTGGTGGCCGGCTGCTGCGCCTGGAATGAGCTCTGCGACAAGGTCGTCCCTTCTGCACTTGAGGTGGAATGTAAATCGAAGACCAGGCGGTTTGTTTCTGGATGTACAAGCAACACTACAAGCAAGTATACTTATAATTAGGCATATATATATATAGTCTAAACAGCCTTATGGGGCTATTGGGCTGTAGACTGGAAATTACCGTCTGGCTGTATGTATTTAATGCCAAAACAAACTCCATGGACTCCATAGGGTCCATAGACATGTCTGCCGTGAGATAGAAGGCGTGTTCGGGATGTCTTCCTGCAGTGGCGATGCCATCGTTTTCCACATGTTGGAAGGACTACTTCTACTGCAATTGGAAAAGCCAATTCCTTCTGCAAGATTCACCCAACTTTCCGGGTCTCTTTCCGCTGCAGGTTTTTGGA